AAATCTCTGCTTTTCTTATGCAAATCTTCTCACAGGATTAGCAGGGAAAGTAAACAGCAGTCCAGCCTCAAGATCTTTTTCTTTTTAGAGACAGCCTGTTGTGTAAATCTGAAACAGAAACTGCTTTTATTTGAAGATCAAATAGAAGTTATCTAGTGAAGCTGACAAACAGGAGCAGAATAATCTGTTTGCATTTTTGGGAAATGGATAGTTCTGGTTTTGTTTCAAGACAAGTAACTTTTAAATAATATTTAACGAAATAATTGACCTTGATGTTTAAACTACAACTTCCTTCACGTCATTAAGCCCACTGTTTTTTTAAAAAAAGTTTAGTATCTGAACTCTGGCATTCATTCTACTAATCTCATAATAACATTTGTTTCTGTTGGAATTTTGTTTGGTGAACTCATTGGGGAAAGGGCAGAGAAGGAGTTCAGAACAGCATGAGCTTTACAGCTCTTTTTTTTTTTTTCCTCCCTGAAAAATAGCAGAAAAAAAAAAAGGAGAATGGCTTTTCAGGAATAATTTTTCAGATGGAAGAAAAAGGAAGAACCTTTGAACAGCTGAACCATAAGCCTTGGGACAAACTGTTTTCTTTTTGACATATATTCTTTTAAAACACATTTCAATCCTTGACTACAAAAAATGATTTTGTGAAGTCTGTCCTCATGATAATTAGAGGCTGAGTCTGCTTTTGAAATGTGAGAGAAATGGAACTAACTCCATAAAGTGTGTCTATCACATAAAGCTTTTAGGACAGCTTGATTCACACTATATCCTGCTCTTTGTTCAACTGACAGATTTCCAAGTACAGAAAGAGGCACATATCTGGGGGCTGCTATTATCTAAGCTAAATATGTACATTTTGGATCAGTTCTATTTTATATGAATACTCACAACTTCTGCTTGGGAATCTTAAGCGTAAAAGGATTGCAGAGCTATGCATTTTATTAGCTATGCATCAATCTTTGTACATGGACAAAGGTGCATAAATATACACATTTACTAGTTCCTCTGCTTTGTAAGAGTTCAGAAAATTACATGCAAAATTATTTCAAATAAAACCAAACAAGCAACCAAACAACATATGCATTGCCATACAAGAAAGCAGGCAAACAAGGTGAGGGAGAATAAAAGTAATAAAGGAACATGGAGGGGTTAGCTTAATTTTTATTTGTCTGTAAATGAAAAATAGCATGGCAGCAGTGGATTTTTTGTTGTTGTTGTTTGTTTAAAGTTATGTGATCCTTGAATTACAAAACACTGGTACCTACCTAAACACTGTTGTGTACCCTGCACATCAAGTACTCATACGCAGATGAAAGCTCTGCCTTTATCCCTGCTGACATACATTTTTTTCTCTCCAAGTATTTTCTATTTTCAATATGTGGATGTAGGAGGAATCAGGTTGCTTTACTCCCAACAAAGGACACGTAGCTAACATTTCCACTGATCAACAATATTTGAATTCCCTCTTCAGTGCACAAACAGTCAGCTCAATAATGATTGCAGGCAAGGGATCAAGACAGTGTCGTGTTGTTATGCAATTGGAGATGTGACATTATCTGGCTATCTGAGCAGGGTCATGGTGATCATGGGACAATACAAGTTCCATGTCAGGCACCATGTTGATGCAGGTTGTCTCAACTTCACACAAATGTTAAGCACAAATTAAGTGGCAGAGTCATCTCCCATCTCAGCTTTATCCTTTGCCTCTTCCTCCTTCGCGGCAGAATTGGAATTTCAGAGCATCCCAGTGCAGTCACTCAAGCTCCAGTCCCGCTCCTCAGCCCCACATACACAACATCAGCTGACTAGCTAACCAGCTACGTCTGACACAGGGGCAGCACCCACATCAGGAGTGATGATTTGTATTTCTAGGAGGTATAGCTACTGGCCAGTTTATGTTACCCCCTTACTACAATCCCATGCTCTGGATCAAAACCAGCAAGTGAAGGGAGGAGGCATCCCCATCCCATGAGGCTACTGTGCAGTTCCCTTGTCCACAAAGGCTGCTTTTATGCCCAGCAAGCTGTATTTTTACCACTCAGTATATGTACTTATGCAATTACTGCTGTTCAGTTTCACGCAGAATCAGAGCATGGCACCTGGGGATGGCAGTTCTTGACCTGAGGTGCTACAGATGCTACATCAAGGTAGCAGCTGTCATTCACCTGTAGGTCCTTGCAGAAGAAGCTGGTCCTATCATTTTTATTATTATTATTATTATCTTTTTTTTTATTTATTTATTAGTAGTATTATAAGCTACAAGGAAAACAGTACAGTAACTCTTGCTGGTGAGTTCAGTGCTGTCTCTGCTATGTCACTTCAGACCTAGGACCTGTCTGTTTTGTGGTAGCCAATAGGTCTTTTCTGGACAACCAGATACAGCCTGCAACGTACTGGCAGTGACAGGAGATGGCATTCCAGTCATACTGGGCAGACATGATTGTACCATCTTCTGTTACTCTGGTGGTGATTTGTGATGAACTCACCTGGCATATTGCCTCAGCCCAGGGATTACAGTGCATCTCCTCAGCGCAGAATTTAAGCAGGGAGCTGTGCAAAACCAGGCTTTGCTGTGAGACTGAATACACTGCTCTTTCCTTTTCCCCTGAGGATGATTTACCTTGATATTGTGCTGGACCTTGGGAAATTCTCTAACCCCAATACTAATATCAACTCCCCTCACACCAGTTTAGGGAGTGACAGTGACTATTCCCTAAATTTCATCAGTCTGCAGTTGTCTTGCTTTAAAATCTTATGTCTCTTCTTATCAGGTACAGGTATTCTTTGTAACCTCTGCTGAACTGCTATGGAACATTTCTGCACACTGCAAAACGGCCACTGAAAATTTCCCCCTGGACATCTGTGCCAAATTCAGTGGTTCTTAGGGAGATCATGCCATTGAACTTTTAAAGCTTTCTGGGGACTGTAGGTGACATGTTATGTAAACGTCTCTGTCTACCCTTGCTTCCCTATCTGTCTGGATACATTTCCTTACCCTTTCCTCAAAACGTACATCTGGCTCTGTCAGAGAGACCTGGGGAAGCAGAAAACATGATGAAGGCACTAGCAGTGTGAATACATACAGAATTAAGACTTCTAGCTGCTACAGCATGTCACTTCTGCCTGCAACCTACTAAAGCAGAAAAGTCTTGTGGCTCTGCTTCACTGGGTTACATGACACATGCCAGAAAGTGTGACACATGCCACTCCCCATCTCCTTGGCATTATTAGGCCAGGGTAGGAAGCACAACCAAAGAACATGCACACAACTTTGACAGGTTCTGCCTAATCCACCCACATGATGACATTTCTTATGCTAAGTGCCAGAGCGGTGTAGGGAAACTACTGCCTTACCAGCTGCTGGCAAGTCGGACTTAGTTTCATGGCTATGTTTAAGAGATAGGCTGACATTACATTAAGAAGTCTTTGTCTCCTTTGGTGCAGTGCTTAGAGAATGACATCAAAAGCCTTCCTAATTCACCCCCTAGGTCATGGCACAGAGCTGTGCTACTCCAGGAGACCCTGAGTCACGGTGGCATCCATGACTAGCCTCATTCCACGGAAGGAAGTGATGTTCTTTGAGTGTAAAACAACCAGGAGTAGATTACATCCCTTCTCATTCCAGTTTAGCCCTGCTGGCTGTTGGGACAGGCACTGGAGAGGCAGGAACAACCTCTAATTTCCCAGCCTTGCTCCTCCCCACCCCTACCTCAGGGAAGCTGTTCCTCTCCATGCTGGGACACGCAATGTGGGCAAACCACACAAGAAGGGTTTGCTCAACCAGGCAAGGAAGAGGATGTTCTGGCACTCCTCTCTGATGTGGTACAGAATTATGTCACATAGTGAGACATCCATCTCTCCTTCAACAGGCTAGGCGTATCTGATCATGAGGATGCTGTGTGTTCTCCATCCCTTGGCATTTGTCCTTGTAATTAGTCTATCTGTTTCTGATTTATTTATTTTCAGGCAGTCTTCTGCACCCTTTCTCCCTCACTTGGGCACATGGGGCAAACCACAGACTTGCCCTTAAACTACACAGAGAAATAAAATCAGAAACAGACAAACCACAAGAATCAATAGCAACAAGCAGAAAGCACATGATTGGATGATGCAGTTCCCTTTGGAGATCCATCTGCCTTGAAATGTGATGTAACTAGGCTCACATACCGTGTCTGTGAAGGGGGTAACAGATCCCTTTTCATAACCTGACTCACAGGGTAAAGCTATGCTAGCTCAGAGAAGCCAAGCCATGTTTAAAAAATCATTTCTAAAGAAGAAAAAGAAGTACAGTTTGTGTTCACAGAGCTAAAGTGATTGCTTTCAAGTCTGACATGACTCCTGTTACTGTTTTATTGTTGCTTCCTAGAATTTAGGCTTGAATTTGGCAGAAGTTGAGAAGCAAGGGCATACATAGAATCACTTGTGAGAATCAGTGTGTCTGTGTGCAAGGGCCAATTGTTTCTGGAATAAACACCAGTCTCTAGACTGCTATTTGATGTGGCAATATAAAATGGCAGTCAGACACATGTAGGCAAGGCAATTTACCTTTTTCCTACAAATAAACACAACCGGGTAATGAACAACACCTCCCAGTGCCATTAAAATTAATTCCATAACTGTTCCTCTTTTGTCTCCAAAAGGTAACATTGTTGCCTGAGAGGGAGTATCATGACATTAATCAAAAATAGATGGTCAGTACAAGAAATGAAGGCCAAGGAGATGAGTATAAATATCTTCTTGCATATCCAGAATACAGAAGCTCTCTGAAAACATTGTAATTAGAGTTGATACACTCTATAAAGCCATACAGATAGTATGCATAACTGTCATACCTATACTTAACATCTTTGATACCCTGTGATTCTGTAGCCCTTCATCTGGTGAACTGTGTGAAGCTGTTGATCGTATGATAGATCAGGCAATGGAGAAACTCTCCAGACAGAAATATCTACTTGTTCCTGGCTAGGAAGAATAAACCTTTCCTGTTTTTGGAATCCACAGAAATACAGATGCAAAAGCAGGACATGGATAAATGAGAGAAGATATGGTATTGCTCCTACAAGTAGAACATTCTGTCTTCGAGATAGGTGAGTACTTCCAAACTTCCCAAATGTTTCATTGCTCTACAGATAGATAGCAGATCTTCCCACCTCTCTTTCCAGATATTCCAGCATTTTAAGCCATAATAGAACCAAGCAGAAAGCAGAAGTTAGTCTCGAAAAAAAGACATGAGACAAATAAAATAAAATTTAAAAAAAAAAGGCAAAAAAGTCTGAGGACCCTAAATTCCATAGTCAACCTCCTGGATATGGCCACAGAATTTTGCACATCTCCACAAAGACGTGGCTGATTCTCATTTCCCATTAGCAGAACTTGGTGCAGCTGTACAAACAGCATATTTCTACACCTACAGGCATTCATTCATTTCCTCCAGTGAGGTTTTTAATTTGACTGGCAGGTAGCCTATCTGGACCGCTGATAAGAAAAAAATCACCCTCCATTCTTTACATCTCCACTGCCTTTCCTCTGATTCTCACCATGGAAGCGTACAAAGAATTAAAGAGCTCTCCAAAGGTTTGTAACCAAATATTCACCCTAAGAGAGGTAGATTATATTTGCTTACTGTATCCATTGCCATGCTGGCATGTGTACAAGACTAACTCCTTGGGGTAATATTGAATACTTTGAGAAAACTTTTGTTTATAATAAACTGTTTGCCAGTGGGTGCACATTTGGTGTTGTCCAGGGTATACTAGTGCTTGAGTTCACACGGTTTATGAGACAGCACCTTGTCTAGCTTCACAAACACACCTTCAGGGACAGTCCTGGGGTGTGGTTAATTTACCTTAGTCTTTTGCAGGATGATTAAGAGTATTTTGAAATTCTCTCAGGCATTTCACCAAGAGAAAATGTAATTAAACAATGTACAGAGGAAACATATTCTTTCAGGAAATGCAACCTGGTCTTAATAGGCTTGCTCTTTTGCTAGTATACATATCTTGACAACATTTTAAGTGGAGAAAAATTAAAACAATATTTACATTCAATAATATTTAGAGTATTGTTTTCCATAAAGTAAAAACATTGAAGTTGTTCATTGTTTCATTTAATTTTGTTTTGAACTTTATAACATTCATGTATTTAGTATTTTGCCTACTAAATTAGGTATTTTATTGTCACTATGACTTTTGGCTTTCTGCTGTGAGAATGATTTGACACTTATGGAACACTTCCATTATGTCAAATGTATTTTTCTGAATTTTTAATCCATGAAACTTCAGCACCTTCACTTTTTTCCCAAATATTGATGTTTCCCATAGAATGGAGATTCTGTTTCCTGACCAGCTCTGCTAACATTTCTTGTTCTATCAAAAAGAAAGGGGGGAGGGTGTCACAAATGCACAGCTGTAAACTTGTCAGGATACATTTCTTATTGTTGGCTCATATATTGCCCTCTTTTGGTAGCTTTTGTACTGTACTACACATAAAAATTTGAACAAGTGCTGCAGCTACTCAGCATCCGAAGGGGACTAAATGCTGAATGTTAAAACTAAGTAACTGTATGAGGAGAGCAATGGGTTGCAATCTTGAACTAGCTTATAGATGCATCTTATCAGGAAAGGAAAAGCACTAGGGAGTGAATGAAACAGTGCAGTATAAAACTGAACTATAAAGGTCAATGAGAAAGAAGAAAAAGAAGGATCTGTATATATTCACTTATGTCAATAATTTAACTCCATATCTTGACTTCCATCCTGTGGTGACAAACATAGCTTTCAAGTATTTGTTCAATCAAGATTTGTAAAGGGAAGCTCTATCCTAATCATCATCCCCTGGTCCTTGTTGTTTTTTTTATAATCTATACAGGGGTTTTATTAAATTCTCATGAGTATTGACCAGTCAAGACCAGAAGAGTGCCCACTAACTCTCCAAGACTAAATCCCTGCCAAAGTCAACACTTCTGTTTTCACTATTAAATTTCTGAAAGATAAAATTAAATAATACATATTCTTTTTACACACTAATTTACTAATACTAATTATAAAATCATGTGATACTTACTGCATTATAAGTCTAGAATCATTATTTAAGTGAAACACTGAAGTGTTGATTTTTTTCCAGAGAGAGTTTTCTACTATTCCTGACCAAAATAAAAATAAAAAAAATTAAAAAAAAAGAGCAACAATCTCAGTCTGTTGCAATGATTAAAAAAGTCTAAGGAGCTGGGTATTCACCTTCCCTTGACTTTCAAAAATAATAAAGTACTAACTCACCCAAAATGCCATTCTTAGAGAATGAACTGCTCTCTACTTCAGATAATTCTCAGTTATAAGCACAATAAATGGTTACACAGAAGAGATATTCCCACCGTATCTGTGATCCCAGTTCAGCATTTCACAGCCCTATTCTTTAAAGATTAATTTTTCTTGGTTTGAAAATCAGCATCAGGAATTCAGGCTCACAAGAACTCTTTTATGAACAGTCGCAGAGATGATTTCAGAGCTCAGAAAGGAGCTATGCCTCCCACCTTGAATTTTGGAGTTTTTGTGGCAACTCCGTATAATCAGGAATTCTTGGAATAGGGAAGGACTCCCAGCCTTCCAATGTAAAGACATAAAGCTGTGCTTTAGGCATTCTCCAGTGCTTTATTCAAACCTATCCATCCCAAAGCCCCAGCAATATGAACTCCCCTTAAAAGACCATCTGACTGTCTTCCAATTTTCACCTTGAAAAAAATACACCCAAAAGGCTTAATTCCACTGCCTTCCTCCCTTTTAGTTATATGATGCTGCCTAGTTTAAGCCTTTGCAGACCTCTGTTCTGCGCATAAGAATGCAGCAATCAAGCCTTATGGAAATATGACTGCCTGCTGATTTTGATGCAGCTAATATGAACCTTTCAGTGGCCAAGGGCTCAAAGACTTTTGTCACATTTCCTCAGAGGTCTAACCAAGCCCCTTCTGCTCCAATCCAACAAAGTGCTTAAACATGTGCACCCTTTAAGCTGATATGTAGTTCCTTTGTTAAAGCCACCCAGCAGGGCTGTAAAGGGAGTTGTAAATCAGCAGCACAGCTCATGCACTTTAAGTTTATGCTTAATGAGATACTGGGTTTGAGCCTCAGTCTTTCCCCCAAAGTGATTTTTCCAGCCTTTGAATCTTTGTGGGATTTTTTCCAACTCCTTCCAGTCAGTCAGTGGCTGGCAATATTCGACACAGATTTGAATGTAATGGCACAGAGCTTTATACACGAACTCTAACACCCCTGTAACAGACATCGGTATGTGCGTAGCCTTCACCACTACACAAAATCATCTCTCACTCCCATCTTTCTGTTGTACGCTATACCTTGAAGGTCTATCAGCACTATTGGTGGCCAGGGCATACACATTCAAATATATCTTCTTTTCTGTGTCTGTGTGTGTGAGTTGTTTGGGGGAATTTGTACACAGCTTTCTAGTATCTGCCTGTCCTTTCATAGTATTTCTCTGCTGTCTCCTGTTTGCATTCCTTGCTATTTTAGTATCATCAGCACATTTCACTATGCTGTTTAGCTCTACTTTGAGATGAGCATAGAGGTATTAAATAGAATGATGTCTGTCAAAGTTCCCTGCCATGACCCACAGGACATTCCTACAAGCTACAAGAACACTGCAGTTGATCATTGCGCTTTGTTTGCATTCTTTCTCCCATCTCGGTCTACACGGCAGTGTTCCCTGCCAAAACAAGTTCTTTCTCTCAGCATGAATACCTGAAAGAGTAGCAAATTACATATTCAGTGCTCCCTATATCCACTCTCCTGCATTCCCACCCAGTCTGTTTATCTCTCCACTCACTTGCTGTACATGCCTTGCTTGGAGCATGCTGACCGTAGATTTGGTCCCCAAATCTATAATATACAGAATATATAATGTTCATATTAACATGAAGGAAATGTTTAACATGCTTTAACATATCTGTTGTGGTTTAAGCCCAGCCAGTAACTCAGAACCACGCAGCTACTCTCCCACTCCCTCCCCCTTCTTCCTCCCCAGCTCCCAGAGGGATGGAGAGGAGAATCAAAAGAATGTAATTCCCACAGCTTAGGATAAGAGCAGTCTGGTAACTAAGGTATAACACAAACCACTACTGCTGCCACCAGTAATAATAATGACAAGGGAAATAACAAGGGAAGAGAATACAACCGCTCACCACCCACCGACCAATACCCAGCCCAACTGAGCAGTGATCTAACCCTTCCGGGTAATTGCCCCCAGTTTATATAGTGGGCATGACGTGCTGTGGTATGGAATACCCCTTTGGCTTGTTTGGGTCAGGTGTTCTATCTCTGCTTTCTCCTGGCTTCTTCTCCTCCCTGGAAGAGCATGAGGCTCAGAAAGTCCTTGGTCAGAGTAAACATTACTGAGCAGCAACTAAAAACATCGGTGTTATCAGTGCTGTTCCCAGGCTTAAAGTCAAAACACAGCACTGCACCAGCTACTAAGGAGAAAAATGACTGCTACTGCTGAACCAAGGACAGTATCCACCCCTTATTCCATACCATTCATATCATGATCAGATCCTACATTTTTCAATATACCATCACTCTTGTCTCATATATATACATATATATACCCACACACACACACACACACACACAAAGAGAGAGAGATTATTCCTTAGTGCATGGACCAATCTCTGTAAAGCCTCTGAGTTCATCTGGTCCATGATGTCAGGCTCCATCTCTTGTAACAGTTTTTCAGAGCAGGAGAGAGAGTGTGATGTAGTCAATCTTCCAGGCCTCCCCATATTTGTACTTCAACCATCATTCTCATGCCAAAGAGGCTTTAACCACTTGGCTTGCTTAATTGCAGCACATTTCACACTCGTGAATAACCTGGGCAATAGCGTCCATTGCTAAGTCCACCCCTAGATCATGAGTCCATCTCTATGTTGCATCTCTGCCCTGATGGCCTGAAGTGTCATGGGCCCATCAGGCTCAAAATAATTCACCCTCCCCTCCAGCAGTTTCTGCAACTTGTCACTGGGGACTCCATACAGATGCCTTAATCTCCGATGATTCCAAAGCACTGGAGGGGCCCAGTGGAC